ATCGGACAAAGGATTAATATCCCGAATATACAAGGAACACAACTCACTCAACAGCAAAAAATCAATCCAATTTTCGAAATGGGAAAATGATCTAAACAAATGTTTTCCAAAAGAAGACATACAAATGGCCAGCGATATGAAAAGGGGCTAGACAGAGGCTCCGGAGTGAAATGTGACACGCCGTGAGGCTGACCCACTGGCAGGTTCTCAGTGTGTGTCCAGTGAACTTCCTGAGTATGCCAGGCACGTGCGTGCCCACCATCGAGCGTTGCCTGAGGCTAGGAATACATTGTGATATCAAGCCCCTGTTGTGAGTACCGACTTCCTGTTTCCCTGCCTCTATGTCTCTCACTTATTGAGCAAATAAACTTTTTAAAAAGCATATGAAAAGGACCAGCAGATGACATAATAGTTATGTCACTGGACTCCGATGTACTCAGTCATGGTTTGAGTCCCGGACCCGGCAGCTTAAAACTCATGCCAGTTATATGTGAATGTATGCCCAAAATCTCAAAAGGAGAATGGAGGAGAAGGGACTGCACCATCCCCCTGGGGGAGTGATCTCTCACTTTCTGTATCTTTGTTTCTCTCTTTGTCTCTCTGGGGAGCATATACGCCCTGCAGCAAAAATTTCTCTTTAAAAAAACCAAGTATATGAAAAAGATGCTCAAGATCACTGATTGTCAGAGAAACGAAAATCAAAACTGCAATGAAATACCATCTCACCCCAGTTAGAATAGCTATCATGAAAAAAGAGAAATAAAAACAAATGCTGGCAAGGTTGTGGAGAAAGGGGCACTCTTATACAATCACTGTGGAAAATAGTATGGAAGTTACTAGGAAAAAAAATAGAATTACCATATGATACAGCAATCTGCTACTAGGTATATTTCTAAAAGAAAGGAAGTCCATGTGTCAAAGATACACCTGCACGGTCATGTGAACGAAGCATAGTTCACAATAGCCAAGACGGAGACACACACACAATGGACTGCTGCTCAGTCATTAAAAAAGAATGAAATCCTGTTTTCTATAGCAACCTGGATGAGCCTGGAGTTAGACACAGAAAGATGAATACCACATGTGCTCTGTCATATATAGAAGCTAAAAAAGTTGATATTCCGGGGCCAGCAGTTAGTGTAATGGCTATATCACTGGACTCCCAAGTAGTTGACCACAGTTCAAGTCCCTGACCTGGTGGCTTAAACTCACTCTGGGCACGTGTGCGTGCGTGCCCAAGATCCCGAGAGGAGAATGGAGGAGAAGGGATTGCGGCATGGCCATCCCCCCTGGGGGGTGATTTCTCGCTTTCTGTCTCTCTGTCTCTCTGGTGAGCACATGTGCCCTATAGCGAAAACTTCTACTCCAGAAGTAGAAGGTAGTGGTTGCTGAGTGGGAGAAGAGATCGCTAAGCAGATACAAAGTCAGAGCCAGAGAGGAGGAATAAGCTCTAGCATTCAATAGTAACACTGCAGGGTAACTATACATAACAATCGTTTACCGTTTATTTCAGAATAGGTAAAAGAGAGGATTTTGAATGTCCCAGCACAAAGGAATAGTAAATGTCTGAGGTGATGAATATGTCAATTACACTGATTTGATTTTTTTTTACAAAAGAATTTTTTATTGTATTTATTTATTATTCTCCAGAGAGATACAGAGTGAGAGAGAGAGAGCAAGCTGCCAGGTCCAGGACTTGAACCACAGTCAACAATGTTGGAGTCCAGCACCTTAACCACAACACCACCTACCAGCCCTGATTTTTTTTTTTTATAAGTGATTTTTGCTGTGGCCCACAGGTGGCGTGGTGGTTAAGGGTGCTGGACTCCCACATGGCTGACCATGGTTCTAGTCCCGGACTTAGCAGCTTTCTCTCTGTCTCTTTCTCTGTCTCTGTCTCTGTCTCTGTCTCTCTTTCTGTTCCTCTCTGGTCAAATTAAAATAAATTAAAAAAGTAAAATAAAATAATTTTTTAAAAAATATTTTTGCTATAGTGTGTGTGTGCTTGTCAGAGAGACATAGAGACAAAAAGCAAGAAATCACCCGCCAGGTGCATGGCTATACTACAATCCCTTCTCCTCCACTCTCCTCTTGGGATTTTGGGCACATAAAAACACCAGCCCGGTGTGAGTTTCAAGTCATGAGTTTGAAGTTGCCAGGTCCGGGATTCGAACCACATTCAACTACGTGGGAGTCCAGTGACATAACCATTACACCATCTGCTGGTTTCTGATTTGATCATTTTATATATTGTATACTTGTATCCAAACATCACCCTTTATTCCAAAAATATGTACAATCACTATATGCTAACTAGCTTTAACCACAAAATGGTGCAGAAAGCTGCAAACGCTTAGACCCCATGACTCAGTGACTCCGCATCTATGTATAAGCCCAACAGAAAGGCACCCTGTGCTGGCGGAGGGACACGCGCTAGAGCGTTCATGGCAGCTGTGTAAGGAGCCAAGACTGCAAACTACCCACCCGTCCGCTAAGGAAGACGGATAGAGAAGCCGTGATACATCCACACAACGAACCGCTCCTCGGCAACGAGAGGACTATTGTTACAACAAACGGCTCTCCAGCACAGCACAACGCCGGACACACGCCTCCCGCATGGTCTACGTATGTGAACTTCACAAACAGACCAAAAGCGTTAGAAGCCAGAATCCTGGGACGGGTAGACGAGTCCGGGAGGGGTGCAGGACGGCTTGGCGGGCAGGGCGACGAGGTGTGCTGTGTAACTTGATGCGGGTGCTGGGGACCTGAGAGCGTTTTGTTTATGATTTGTCCAGCTGCTCACATATAATTTGTACTTTTCCATATGGACGTTATTCTTTCATTAAAAAAAAAAAAATCCCAGAGGAATGAGGGCAGAGGCCAGCCCGTGGCACCGCGGTAACAGCACTCCACGAAGCTCCCTCCGCGGGAAGCCCTTGTTCTGCAGCCCGCGGTTCACACAGGTTAGACACACAGGCGTGTGAGCCAGGCTGGCTGAGCAAGGGGGTGGATCTCGAACGGAGGCCCTGCTGGGAGTGCCTCCATCTTTCACTCTCTCCTTCATGAAAGAAATAAAAAGAATAAACCAAAAAAAAAAAAAAGAGGGGAGACCTTAAATAGTTTAAGAGTTAAGCAAATTACCTTCACCAATACCCTCCCTCTGCCACTGTGTCTGAGTTTAAAATACCTTTGGTATCAGATACCTTCAACAAAACTGCCGAATGTGATGTGGTACAGCTTCTTTGGAAAAGCAATTTGGAAATGTGTGTCAAAGTCCTAAACAATATTCACGAGCCCGAGGAAGTAATCTCAAATACAGAAAAGGCTTTTTTTTTTTTTTTGGAGAGGTTTTTGCTATAGGGCGTGTGTGCTTGCCAGGCAGACAGACAGAGACAGAGAGACAGAAAGCGAGAAATCATCCCCCAGGGGGGATGGTCATGCCGCAATCCCTTCTCCTCCATTCTCCTCTCGGGATCTTGGGCACGCACGCACACGTGCCCGGTGTGAGTTTTAAGCCACCGGGTCCGGGACGTGAACTGTGGTCGACTATGTGGAGTCTAGCGACATAACCATTACGCTAACTGCTGGCTCCCAGAAAAGGCTTTTATGAACAAAGATGCTCTTGCTATTACACGGAGAAAACTAAGAAATGATCTCAATGACCAGCAATAGGATCGTGAAATCAATCAGGTGAAATGTTACATTTACAATAAATAACATGGACGGGACCAGCAGTTAGCGTAATGGCTATGTCGTTGGACACCCACATAGTAGACCGCAGTTCGAGTCCCGGACCCGGTGGCTTAAAACTCACGCCGGGCGCGTGTGCGTGCATGCCCAAGATCCCGAGAGGAGAATGGAGGAGAAGGGATTGTGGCGTGGCCATCCCCCCTGGGGTGTGATTTCTCGCTTTCTGTCTCTATGTCTCTCTCTGTCTGTCTGGCGAGTGCACGCGCCCTATAGAAAAAACCTCTCCAAAAAAAGATAAATAAATAAATAAATAAATATCATGGAAATGGGTCAAGTGACAAAATGCAGCATGCAAGATTGTCTATAATCTTTGATCGTCACCATGTGAAAATCTGGGAAGAAATATACCAAAATATGCCTGATCTCTTTGGATGATGAATCATGTTTGGTGTCATTTTTGCTTTTAATCTTTCCAAATGCTCTTTGTAAGAAGCATGCATATCTTTCTAGTTGGGAAAAATAGTTTCTGCAAACAGCTAGTGCTTATGTTGTCCCCCTTCACAGAAGGCAAGACTGAGGCACAGGGAGGTGGTCACTTGCTGACAGTCACAGAGCCAGTGAGTGGTGGGGCTGGCAGTCTGGCTCCACCGTCCTCACCCCGAGGCTGAGAGTTTGGTCCTGCGCAAAGAGTGAGGGTTGCCACATTTTATTTTAGGGATTCACACTAAAGAATTCTCCCCACTATCAAAGGGTTTCGGCAACTGATCTCTTTTATCCAGCTCAGGGGCCGGAGGGTGTCTGGGATGATGGAACAGTCTAGAATCCCTGAACACAGGCAGAAAAACTCTACTCCTCCTCAAAGGGCAGAGAGAATTTCCTGTATTCCCAGAAAAACACATGTCTGGCGGCTGAAACAACAAAGCCCGAGAGCCCAGCGGCTGGGGTGCCTGTTAAAGCCATTTGCTACGTTCCCCGCCTCTGCGGTCGGAAGACTTTTTCTTCTGATCCAGTCGGTGACAAACCAGCACTTGTGCGGGAGCTGCCTCGTGGGTCCTGGGGAAGTAACTGGCACTAAAGGAAGGCCTCCCGAGCAGGTGTGAGGCTCCCGGAGCAGGGGAAGGCCCTCCGACATCCTAGGAACCTTTAAACTTTGGGGAGGGAAGAGAGGGCCAGATTCCAGGTTTGAGGTTTGTTTCTGTCTTCCCCAAGCCCCTCTGGCATGGGAGGCAGCAGAGAGGCCTGCTGAGCCAGGGACGGGGCCAGAACGTCCACACAATCCCCACGCCCTGGGTCGAGGCACCCCACGTTACCGAGCCGGCAGCAGGTCCCCACAGGGCTGGCTGGGGTGCAGAGGTGTGGAATCACCGGGTGTCACCTGGACCCAAACAGTGCCCGGGTGGGGAGAGTGGGAGATGTCACATGACTCCAGGAGCCAGCAGTCTTGCCACAAGGCCTGCGGGAAACACAGAGGACTTGGCATCAGAACGCTGGTGTGTTCGAGTCTCAGCCTTGGACCTGACTCAGCTTTGGGGCCTGGCCTCAGTCTCCCCAGCGATTAAGTCGGGTTGTCAGCAGAGGGCTGCCTCTCCCACAGAGCTGACATGCCCTGCACAGGGATGCTGGGCACAGAGGCCCAGGGTGCAAGTGTGGGCAGAGGGGCAGCGTCATCTACCAGTCACTGGACCGTGTCCCATCCAGGCCTACTGGGGACATCCTGGCATGAGTCCCCTCTTTCTGTTCCTTTTAAGTTCCTTTTGGGAAAAGGGCCACATCCATTCAACACACACGCACACACACGCACACTCACTCCCGTCTGAAGGCCCAGGTGGGACAGAGCAGCCTTCTGGTAACCCCAGCCTCTCCACACTGAAGAGGGCAGGAAGGCCTCGAGCCAGCTTTCTCAACTTCCATTTCCTTTCCAAAAACCTTGGAGTTTTAAAAGATTTTCCTTTAAGACCCTGTATGTCTGAGACCCGCTGCTGACATCTGGGAGAGGCCGGTAAAGAGTGATATCACTGGGACCAGCAGTTGGCGTAATGGCTATGTCACTGGACTCCCATGTAGTCGACCGTGGTTCGAGTCCAGGACCCGGCGGCTTAAACTCACGCCGGGCACGTGTGCGTGCATGCCCAAGATCCTGAGAGGAGAATGGAGAAGGCATTGCGGCATGGCCATCCCCCCTGGGGGGTGACTTCTTGCTTTCTGTCTCTCTGTCTCTCTCTGTCTGTCTGGCAAGCACATGCGCCCTATAGCAAAACCTCTCAAATAAATAAATAAATAAATAAGATAAAAATAAAATAATAATAAAAAAAGAGTGATAACACCCACTGCTTTGGGTTCTTTTTGTATTTTGTGTTTTTTAAAATGTTTGCTATGGGGTGCATTATCTCCCTGGAGAGAGAGAAAGAAATCACCCCCCAGGGGATGACCATGCTGCAGTCCCTTCTCCTCAATTCTCCTCTTGGGGTTTTGGGTATACATGCACACATGCCCGGTGTGTTTTTCAAGCTGCCAGGTCTAGGACCTGAACCATGCAGTCAGCCATGTGGAATCCAGCCTCCTTTATCACCAGGCCACCTGGCTGATCCTTTTTGGGTTCTACAGAGGTGATGAGTAGGCAGTTCTCAGCACCGGGCCCGGCACGTGGGGGCACATAGCAATGTCAGCTGTTGCACTATCACCCAGCCCAGTGGCTCCCGGCAGGTTCTGAAGGGCAGCAACAAGGCTACTTCCAGTACTGAAGACCAGCACGCAGAAGTCACCTGGTACGAAGACCCTCTGCCTGGAAGGTCCTTGGTACCTGAGACACATGCTTTCTTCAGTTTGTTGTTGTTGTTGCTGTTTTTATTTTTAGAGAGAGGCAGAAAGTGAGAAATCAGCCCCCAGGGGGGATGTCCATGACACAATCCCTTCTCCTCCAATCTCCTCTCGGGATTTTGGGCACAACCACACGTGTACCCAGCATGAGGTTTAAGCCTCTAAGTCTGAGACTCGAACGATGGTTGACTACGTGGGAGTCCAACGACATAACCCTTATGCCATCTGCTGGTCCCAAGTAGTGGTGGTACATGCTTTCAACATTTTTAATTTATTACTTTGATCTTTTTCCTTTTAGCTGAGGCATAATTTGTCCAGGCAAAATGCACAGATTCAAAGTGCGTAGCTTGATTTTGACTATTTTTTGAGAGACAGGGTCTAATACCCAGGCTGGGCTTGAATTTTCCATCCTCCAGCCTCAGCCTCCCAAGTAGCTAGGACCATGGGGACACCAATACACCCGGCAGGCACAGAGTTCTCACAGGGTAATTACCTGTATCCCCGGGTAATTACCACCTAGATCCAGGGGGAGGAGGTCTCCCCCACTCTGAAAGAGGTGACCCCGCTGGCCCCATCACTGATGGCCGCACATATGAGGCTGCCATGCAGGATGGGGTCTCCTGTACCTTCCCTGCAACACCACAGCTCTGTCAAGGGGAGCACCTAGTGTAGGCGGGTCACATTTCTGGGCAACAAATGAAGATCAGGCAATGTCCACACACGAGAGGAGGCCGAGCTTCCAAGAGAGGGTCTGCACAGTCCACGTCAGTGGTAGCAAGGCAAGCCTCGAACCCAGGACTCTGGTCTCCCAGGCAGAGCCCTGGCCTCTTC